TTCGGGGAGCCCGGATCTTAATGCTTTCAGTCTCTCAACTTTAGACTTCTGTTATAGATCTTGCTGCGCTTAGTTAAGAGGCGTTAGGCTCACCGGGGCGAGCTTTACAGCAGAGCTTTACTATGCAAATCGTATTACATATTTAACCGAAGTGACACGGTTTGGTTGTCCATCGGCAGTATGTGCCCCAGACCCTAAACCCTAAAACCTAACCCGGAAGCCTATGCCCGTACCCTAAATTCTGAACCCCAAACCCTGAAGCCTAAACGCTATACCCTGAAACCTAAGACCTCCCAAAAAGTCCGGAACACCCCTAAAACCCAAAACCCGTATAGACCCCCTGTAAGGGAGCCCTCATAGATCCTTTTCGAGGAACCCTTATAGAGCCCCTTTAAAGGAACCCTTCCAGCTCCCCCTCCCAGGACACCTGCATGAAGCCTAAGACCTCCTTGGAGGATCATGGGACTTAGTAAGTAGGGTTTAGGGGTTCCTTTTTAGGGTACTATAGGGTTCTACAAAAGGGTTCCTTAAAGGGATCTATAAGGAGGATCATGGGACTTAGTAAGTAGGGTTATAAGTACCATAATTGGGGTTATAAGTAATTATAAGTATAGTTACCTAGTTGTAACCCTAGTTACTAAGTCCCATGATCCTTTAGGTATACCCTGAAGCCTAAGACCTCCCAGGACACCTGCATCCTGATGTTCACCTCGGGAACGACAGGCCGGCCAAAGACCATCGCTGGCAGCCCGGGTCTCACCGCTTCTGCTCAGATGCATGGATGTGGGCTAAGGGGCTCCCTTTAAAGGGATCCTTAAAGGGGTCTATGAGGGATTTATGAAAAGGTTCATACTATTCTAGGGGCTTTGGGTTAAGGTTTAGGGTTTAGGGTTATGTTTGGGTTTAGGGTTTAGGGTCAACGCTTGTATCTGGTTTGGGGCTGAGGTTTTTCACAAACAGAGCTCTGATTTGAAGTGGACAGTGCGCGTGCGCGACAGGGAGGTTGCCTGGCAAGCGGCCAGCTGTGGTACGATGCATTTCTTGTGCGCGCGCGCAGAAAATTCGCAGGGGGCCCCTGAGACCCACAAACCCTGTGAGCCACTCGGTTTTGCAGTTTCAGGCTTCAGGGTGTAAGTTTTAGGGTGTAGCAGGCTTTACGGCTTGGGCCGTAATTAGTGCAGTTGTTTTAAGCACCAAATGTCAACTTGAATCCTAGACCGTACACCCTAAACCCTAAGCCCTAAACCCTAAGCCCTAAACCCTAAGCCCTAAACCCTACGCCCGAAACCCTAAGCCCTAAACCCTACACCCGAAACCTTAAACCCTAAACCCTACACCGTAAACCCTACACCCTAAGCACTAAACCCTACACCCGAAACCCTCATCCTCAACTCGCGGCCCTAGGCCACTTCTTCATGCACGCCGGGGCGCTTGCCAAGGCCCGGATCCGTTCTTTTGGAGCCGAAAGTGAGTACCTATGCTACATGGCTTAGGGCTTAGGATTTAGTGTTTAGGGATTCGTGTTTAGGGCTTAGGGCTTGGGGTTTAAAGTTTAGAGTTTGTGGGTTTAGGGGTTTAGGGTTTGAGGGTTTATGTTTTGAGGGTTTATGGTTCCCTATTGTCACGACAGCCTGAAACCTTATTCAGATTGTATTTTTCGGGCTCCTTCGGGGGTTTTCGGCAGGGTTCGATAATATTTGAGGGGTTTAGAGTCTGGGGCTAGGGTTTGTTGGGTCTGAGGTCAGCGGTTCGGGTTTCGGTGTTTTTCATGTTTTCTAATTTTTCGGATTCTTTTGAGTGTTCCTTTTCGGGATTCTACCAATGCAGGGCTCCCTTTCGCGGTTCTACAGCATGAGTGGATTGGGTTTGGGATTTAGGGTTGTCCTTTCGTCGAGGTTCAAGACTAAACCCTCAAACTCAATCCTAAGCCCTACGCCGACACCCTAAACCGACGCTCTTTAAATCGTGCAGAACTTCTTCGCGCCTTTTGACAAAACCGACGACTTCCGAGAGGCCTTCTGTGGGAAGTGGGAGCTTCGTATGATATGGGTTTAGGGTCTAGGGTTTCGGGACATGGATGAAAAGGTTCAGGGGTTTTTGTTTCAGGAGTTTGCACTTCAGGATTGGGAGGCCCATTGGGAGGTTGGGGGGGCGAATTCTAACATGGTTATATCGGCCTTACCAATCAGTTTTGGATGCGTCATCAAAGCTAGGGTTTACAGGCAGTGTACTTTAGACATCTAACTAACCAATGACGAGGCCTCAAGCTAGGCTCCGCCTCAATCCACTCGGTGTTGAAGAGTAGTGTTTGGAGTTTATGGCTTCGGGTCATAAGGTTTAGGCCTTTAGTAAAACCCTAAACCCTAAACCTTAAACCCTAAACCCTAAACCTTAAACCCTAAACCCTAAACCTTAAACCCTAAACCCTAAACCCTAAACCCTAAACCCCAAATTTAGGGTTTGGAGTTCAGGGTTGTAGGTTATAGGGTTTCGGCTTAGGGTTGGGAGTTCAAGGGTTGTGGTTCGGGAGAATGGATCCTCAAACCTGCGCCCCAGACGGCGAGGGAGGAAAGGCTTCGGCCGAGCTGCTCCACTTGGGGTGTCGGGGAACTTAGTAAGTCGGTGAGAAGTAGACTTATAAGTACCCTAAAAGGGATCCTAATGTGGGTTATGGTACTTAGAAGTCTCTAAAATATCTAGTTACTAAGTCCCCCGACCCTCCATGCAGCGAGAGGGGGGTTCAGGAAATGCTTCAACTGACTCAGCCTCGGGTTTGTTGTTTGGTTATTTAATGTAGGTGCCTAAATACTTACCAACACTTTTTTGGGGGTTCCTTGTTATAAGTATAGTATAATGGGCCCCAAACCCTATTCTAATTATTAAGGCCCCTATCATAAGGCTAGTGGCGGTAGGTTTTAAATTCATGGCTTGGGATTTGATCATCGGCGCTTTTCACGTGTTTCAAGCGTGGCCGCGAACGTTGAAGAGAAGTACCAGATGGGTTCCTCCACTGGTGCGTGTTGTGAATGCGCCTGACTTTGCAGGTTTTCTATGGCAATGTCGCAAATGAACCCCTCAATCAAGGATTGCATGGAACCTATCGTGGCGCATTGAGGGTGGCCATCGAGACCCACTGAAGCGAATTGAGGCCTCTTGAGGCCCATGGAGGCTCATTGAGCACTGGTGGTTTTCGTTGAGGCTTTCGCGTGGTGGTGCTCATTGAGCCTCAATGGGTCTGAATCTGAATGGGTCTCATTTCGCTTCAATGGGTCTCAGTGGGTCTCATTGGCTCTCCATGGCCCTCAATTGGTCACGATCGGTGTCATGAAGTCCTTGCGGGGGTAAATTTCCCCTTGGAGGCTCATAATGACATGGCTATGGGACTGGCGCCAGCCCTAAACCCTACACCAGAATACGGCACCTTTTATTCAGGGGACCCCAAAAAGGGACCCGAATTTTGACAACCACCCAAATCCTAAACATCACAAGGTGTCCCTTCTCGGAGGACTCAGGCATCTGCAGTCTCTCATGAACCCCTAAAGCCCTAAACCCATGCATACTCGAAGATTTTCAGGTTCCTGAACTACGGATAGGCTCCAGGGCTAGGCTCTATGTCGTCGATGGCTTTGGGTTTCCGGGGTTTAGGGCCTGAGGGCTTGCGGGTTTTGGGGTTTGAGTCCTTTGGCCTTGGGGTTAAGGTCTCTAGAGAGGGTACTCGGATTTAGGGTTTTGGGGTTTCGGGGCACGCTTGAAGCGCAACCTAGACTTTCGGTTCTTGTTTAGAGCTTGTCAAGGTCAAGGTTCAGATTGCGTTGGGGACTTTCAGAAAACAAGCAACCCGCCGACCCCCACCCTAGATCGTAAATTCCTAAGTACGAGAACTTCCTGAAACTGCAGCATTGGCAGTTGGCAGTGGTGTTTTGTTTGAAGACTATCTGAGTACTTAATGGTAGAAACTTCCGAAAAGCGCGATATCCCACGGAGTTCTTGCATTTTTCGGGTTTCCCTGCAAAATATGCATCGCTTTCAATTGCGTCCATCCCCCCCAGGGTTTGGTTCGTAGACGTTCGTAGTGAGCCTGAAGGTGTTTAACAGCTTTCTTAGGACTTGTAGCGTAGTAACCCTAAACCCTAAACCCGGTCGGGGCTTGCCACCCTGGGAAGCTTGTGGGAATCCAAAACGCGCAAAGCCCTAAAGCCCTCAAGGCCTGCGATCTTCAGTTTTAACATCTCAAGCCCTGCAAACCGAAGCCTTAAGCTTCCGAATCCCAAACCCTAATAGGGTTTGGGTTTCAGGGTTTGGGGATTTAGGGTTTAGGGTACGGTTCAACTCCAAAGACTGACTCCAAGAGGCCTACAACGTGATGTTCGTGTGGGAAGTCATGAGGCAATGTCTCTCTGCCCTGTGCCTCAAGAGCCTTCTTCTTATTGGCTGTAAACTCAACTTTTCAACTTTTGGGGTTCTTATAAGGTAGTCGATTCTGAAAGTTTAAACTTTTATTTCCTTGGGTTTTGGGCCAGTGAGTCTTGGAATTTCAGCAATTGCAGGAATTTCATAGGGCATGACATGGTAGGACCCATGTCATTGCAGGCGTCCCAGGTCCGCACGCCCCACATCGGAAACCTTGCGATAATCTCTGTGCGTACTGCAACTTTGGATCCTGCCGAACAAAGAGTTTCGGCAAACTTTCCGTTTTCGGATTCCAGGTTCAGGTTTGAAGGTTGAGGTTTAGGGTTTTGGTTTCAGGGGTTAGGGTTTAGGCTTTCAGCAGTTTATGGTTTAGAACCTTGGTCCAAACCAAATCGGAGGCCCACAGCCGAAAACCTCGAAGCCTTACCAAACCCTTATAGCGTTTTATAACACACTGTAGTGTTGGTAGTGTTTTATACCAACACTTTTATAAAACACTACAAGCCTTATGCACCTCAGAATGAGACAACCCTCGCAAGCACCTAGGAAAATCATAGCACAAAGTGCCTTAAACACATGACCGCCCTCTGATGGACAGGGCGCCCCTGCTGGGCTACACCGGGTACCTTTTGCCAGATGAGGTGCACTCACAGGGCTTGGGGTTTACGGCTTGGGGCTCAGCGGAATGGGTTCTGGCCTCCTTGAAGGGTCATGGGACTTAGTAACTAGGGTTATAATTAGGGTAACTGTACTTATTAGTACTTATAACCCCAATTAGGGTGCTTCTAACCCTACTTACTAAGTCCCATGATCCTCCAAGTCGTCCCTAGCGTAGACAGGCCACTCTCGACCCGCACGTCTTCGCGAACTTCATGCAAAAGCGCTCCGGCTGCAGGCATTGATGCGCCAAAGGAAAGGTTCGGGTTCAAAGTTCTTGGACTGGGAAATCCTTAAGTAAACTAGGACCCAGAATAAGCCCTTATTCCCTTTTTCAGGGTTCAGGTTCCCTTATAACTCCCTTTAAACCAAAAAGGGCACCCTTTTTGTTCCTAGGATACTGTCAGGTCTAGTAAAGGGTTTAAGAGTTCAAGGGTTTGGGATTTGCAGGATTGGGTGATGTTCTAGCCCTAAACCCTAAACCCCTAAACCCCAAAACCCCAAACCCCTAAACCCGAAACCCTAACCCTAAACCCCTAAACCCTAAACCCCAAAACCCCAAACCCCTAAACCCGAAACCCTAACCCCTAAACCCTAAACCCCTAAACGCCAAACCCCAAACTCAAAGCTCCTAAACACGGTCATGTCGGGAACCCAGAAGCCTGCAGCCCGGACTTCCTGACGCCTAAATGCGTAGGTCACCTTATTCTGGGTCCTTATAAAAAGAATCCTACTAATTATTTAGGGTACTATATTCGGGTCCCCAATTTTCGGAAACTCCCAAATCGCAGGCCCTGCTTCAAGGGCCAGGGGACTTGGTAAGTCAGCTTGTAGGCCCATTGGCGGCACGTTGATTGGATGATCATATAGCGCATGTAAATGTGACTCCGCATTGCTTCAAGTAAAATCCCAGTCAGAAAGAAAGGGAAGCCTAAGGCACCAGTGCAGCCGTGCGCTGACTACACCGTCGCTTCTGGCCGCGGCGGCTGCATTTTGGGATTTCAGTAGATCAATGAATTGGGTGTCGTGCATTCTTTGAGAAGCTTTATGTAAATTTTTCGCGCGATACCATAGGTGGGTTGAGTTGTGCTATATGTTTGAAAGAATGAGGAGCGCATCAGGAACCCTGACATAAACCCTGGTGAGCAATGAGGATCTATCGCGCAGTTCATACGGGCCACCCCCAGGATGGAACCCCCCCTCAACGCTCAGAGGTATCCACATGTACCCTAGTGCAAGCTCTGGGCCCTTGTGGGCTTTGGCGGCTCATGCAGACAGTTCGGCGCGTTTGACGCTACCAGCAAGGATTTCAATTCAATGTTTTAAATGACCACGGTCCAACCGCTGGTGGCTTCAGGCTGTGGGCTTTTGGGAGGGCTTTTCATGAACCCTAAACCCCGAACCCTAAACCCTAAACCCCGAACCCTCAACAGCAGGGAACGAGTCATAAGTGCGGCTATGAGTAAATAATTAAGTGGCATGTACTTCTGTGCCCTCAGGTCCAAGGTCCTAAGGGTCACCCTTTACCCTAAACCCTAAACCTGAGCACCCTAAAACCGAAACCCTAATTCCTAAACCCTAAACTCTAAACCTGAACGCCCACCTAAACCCTAATTCCGAAACCCTAAACTCTAAACCTGAACGCCCACCTAAACCCTCATTCCTAAACTCTAAAACTCAAAGGCCCAACGTCCTAAGGATCAACAAGAGAGCCCTGAACTTCCCTACTTGGAGAGTCAGGGGACTTAGTAAGTAGATATTAAGTGGGTGGTTGTCAAAATTGGGGTCCCTTTTTGGGTCCCTATTACAGTACGGCACATATTATTTAGGGTACCCAAAAGGGGCCATAATTTTGACAACTACCCAAATAATATGAAATATACTTATAAGTACCATAACCCCGATTAAGATCCCTTTTAGGGTACTTATAAGTCTACTTATAAGTACCATAACCCCAATTAAGATCCGTTTTAGGGTACTTATAAGTCTACTTACTACCTATCTACTAAGTCCCCCGACCCTCCAAGTAAACCCTCGAGGTCACGCTTATGGACTCCCTGTCCCAACACTTCGCGACGAAGCTCAGCAGCATGCGCACCTGGATGATGTGTGGCGAGGCACAGTCGGCTCTTCGTTTGTTTTGTTATAGTGAAGTTAGAGGGTTTAGGGTTTACGGTTTAGGGCTAGGGTTAGAGGACATTTCTTGGGGGTCGTATTTGCAGCATGAGGTTTCAACGGTGTACTTAGATACCATGTGCTTCAAAGTGTGCATTTAAACCACTCTGCCCCAAGTCCTATTTTCTGACGAAGCAGTGATGCACTGCATCTGTGTTGTCGCTCAGCAGATGCACAGTGGTCACGGCCAGCCATCAGCCTTTCAGAATCACTGTAGCAGGTATCCACTCCCGCAAAATTCATGTCCCATGTGTTCATGTGTCTGAATTTGCAAACTGCACACCCTTCAGCCCGAAATCTACTGCTTCTTGTTTTTTGTTTCGACTCCTGAATGTAGGTGCCCGGACTTGGACCCTACTTGGAGGGTCGGGGGACTTAGTATTTACTTGTTTTAGGGACTTATAAGTACCATACTCCCAATTAGGATCCCTCTTATAGCTCTACTTATTACCTGCTTACTAAGTTCCCCGACCCTCCAAGTACAGCAAGACATCTGCTGCATTTGGTTTCGGTTCCTCAACTTCAGCCGATGGTTTGGGGTTTACGGTTTAGGGCTTAGGGTGTAGGGTTTAGGGCTTAGGGGTTAGGGTTTAGGGTTTGGGGTTTGGGGCTTAGGGCTTAGGGTTTAGGGCTCAACTCGATACTTCGGAACACTCCCCCCCCGCCCTGCAGGATCCCAGTTCAGGACCCCGGATAGAGAAGCGCTGGAAGAGATCATCTCGCAAGACACTAAACCCCAAAACCCTAAACCCTGTACCCTAAAACCCTAAACCCGAAACCCTATACCCTAAACCCTATACCCTCAACCCTACACCCTATACCCTAAACCCTAAACCGACCCCTAAGCCCAAAAAACATGAAGCCCTGGCTCCTGAAGCTTTAGCCTACACCGGGGATTTCCAAGAGGGTGCCTGTAGCGCTGGACCCTCGCCCTGAAACCTATATACTTCCCCCTCAACCAACCATAACTAGGTTGGATCTTGGGACATTTTTTATTTTCCTTATTTGGGTGTAGAGGGGACCCTATATACAAATATTTTTCAGGGTGTTTAAAGGCCAACCCAGATAAATCCCGCCCCTCAGATCCCGCACATTCGCCATGCAGGTCCTTCCGATGAAGGTGGCCCGCGGCTTACGCACGAAGGATTCAGGAACAGGCTTGACACCCGTGCAGGTTGCCAGCCCTTGTGTAACTTATTGGCTGTAAACTCAACTTTTCAACTTTTGGGGTTCTTATAAGGTAGTCGATTCTGAAAGTTTCAACTTTTATTTCCTTGGGTTTTGGGCCAGTGAGGTAAGGATTTTGGTCTGGTAGGCTTTCGGGATTCCTGCGCCCTAAGCTCTAAATTTAGGGTGGAGCTCTCCCGAAAGATACCAGTATGCAGTGTCTCAATTGCCCGATTCCCTCCAGAAACTCCCCGAAAAACGAGCACTGGTTCAAGAACCCTTCACGCCCCAACCCTGAATCGCAAACTCCAAAGCCAGGAATCCTACATCTTAATCCCCAAGCGGCTCGTAGCTGTGGCTAAACCCAGCATTCTCTAAACTGTTAGCTGAAAGAAAAACTCATCGAAACCCCGGTCCCAACAGTCAGTTTCCTTGAGGCGAACCGCTTCCGTGAGACCTTGCCCAGGCCGGTGGTGCATGCGGGACTCTCAAGAGCCACCTTAGCATAATATGGGGGTGAAGATTTAAAAGTAGATTGAGGACTGCGAGTGTTCCTTTAAAGGGCTTCTATAAGGTAAGGACTACTATAAGGGTTCTCTACCTGTCGGAAGGTTTAGGCTTTAGGGTTCAGGTACACGCTACGGCTCGTGGGTGTTGTTTCGTTTTTATCACCAGTTTCTTCGGGTATAGGTAGTCCTCAACCATGAACCCTGAAGCTGATGCGCAAAGGGCCGAATGACTGCAAGGCTTTTCCAAGGGCCGTAATGATAAGTATCCGTGTAGGGTTTGGATATATGAAAGTACTATCTACAGACGTTTCAGACCTCCGTGTCCACCATAGGGAGTGTCCCGTAAATTATGTAGGGTACCTTATTCTGATTTCAGCTTTTGCCATCCTTAAACCGAGGGGTAGGGTTGAAAGGGTCTAGATATCTGAGACTTGGGGTGTTGGAGGTACTCGGTTGTCTTGCGGTCTTGCGGTTTATGAGGGAGTTTACCCCCTTAGGCGCCAGGCCCTACACCCTGAACATAAAAACTCCAAGCCCAAGACGTGAAGTCTTCGCAGCCCAAACAGGTGCAAGCTGATCAATGACTACTCCACGTGGGAGAGTGGAGATATCGGCTGCCTCCTTAGCTGTTTCTAGGGGTTAGGGGTTTGGCGTTTACGGGTTTGGGCCCCACACTTGCCCTAAAACCATGAGCCCCTAACCCGAAACTTGAGGTTTAGGGCTTACTTGAGGCTGGGAGACCCTAAGCCCTACACCCTGAACCCTAAACCCTAAACCCCCAGCCCGGAGCCCTAGACTGTCGTTCCTTTTAAGGATGAATTTCAAAGGGTATGACGGAGACAAGCACCTTCCCTAATGGTGTACTATAGGGGTCGGAATATTTACCAAGACTATTCCCTTGGGCTCTTGCTAATCATAGTATACTATACCGCAGAGCCTTATTCTACTTGTCACTAATGATTAATGCTCCTATAGTTTCTGGATGTGCCTACAGTTCGACCATGTAGTTGCAGCGCTTAAGAACCGTAGGAGGACCCAAACCATCTACTCTATTTGGCGTTTAGGGTTTTGGGTTCGGGCTTTGGGCGGATGCCCTAAACACCATGCCCTGTTCGGACCCTCACCCTAATCCTGAAGTGTGTCCCGAAGCCTGAAGACATCCGAAAGCCACAAGCACGAAAACCCTAAGCCCTAAACCCTCAACCCCAAACCCAAACCCTAAAACCCTAAAACCCAAATCCCTAAACCCTCAACCCTAAAACCCTAAACCCCAACCCCCTAAAACCCTAAACCCCAACCCCCTAAACCCCAAACCCCTAAACCCCTGCAACCCCTAACGATCGATCCCAAGGCTATGCACTCGTGGCACCAGCAGGGAGGTACGAGCCCAGCCAGGCAGGCCTTCTGTTTGCGCCTCTGTTGCGTGAGGGTCCCTCCATTTCCAGAGGGTTTAGGGTGTAGGGTTTAGAGTTTAGGGTTTAGGGTTAGGATTCTTGTACAAGATTTCTATAAAGGTTGTATAATTTGAGTTGTGGAAGGAAGACGACTCCAATGCTGAGGAGTGCTCTAGGAAGGATGAGCCCCTGACCAAGCTTATCCGAAGCCCCACAATTCCCCACACCCAACCCTCAACTTTCCCAAACCTTCTGATAGTATGTCGGAATCAGAAGGCGCAGCCTGTGCAATATATCAAGCCCGTAGAGTTTAGGGTTTAGGGTAGCTCATCATGCATCCTGGCACGCATCAAACACCAAGTGCATCCAAGCTCACAGCCTGTAAAGAGCGAAAGGTCTCACCTTATCGGATCCCGAAGCGATCAGTGTCCAAGCGGAGTATATAACCTCGCAATCCTCAACTAGTACTCCCTCAAGTTCCCTAAGGCTCCCAAAGAACCCCTAGATCAGAGAATTACGCTACACCGTCAGACTTCCAATTCCTACCACTCCAAAATCGTACCATGCGCTTGACTCCCACCCCCTAAATCTGATGCTTGGGGTCTGTGGTTACTTGGTTGTGCTTTGGGATAACTTTTAATTTCCCTTATTTCCTTATCAAGGGAACCTATTCATAAATAATTTTCAAAGGGTTTAAAGCAAAACCCAGGTTAGGGCTTTAGGGGTTTATGGTTTGGGGTTTGGGGGTTTTAGAGTTTCAGGGGCTTTAGGGGTTTAGAATTTAAGGTTTGGGGTTCAGGAGGCTCCGCGGGACTTGGCATGTGAATGATAAGCAAGGCAAGTAGGGTTTAGGGTTTAGGGTTTTAGGGTTCAGAGTTTACGGTTTAGGAAGATAACACTCCGACTGGGCTTCTGCTGCCCCCAAATACGACAGACGTAGTCGGTCCCGTATTCTTCAACGGTTTAGGGTTTAGGGTTTAGAGTTTAGGGTTTAGGGTTTAGGGTTTAGGGTTTCACCCCTGCAAAACCAAGCACAGAGTCAACATGAAAGCGTTTGGAACACCCTTCTACCCCCCGTAAGCCCTTGACCCCTGAAGCTAAAGCCAGCAACCCTCTTCTCAAACCCTTAATCACAAGAACCACCAAGACCCTACAACCCTAAACCCTTAAAGCCTCAACAAAAACAAAAAAAGAGAGGTCTTTGCTGTTGGCTGCCAAGACCTGGCCTGTGGCGTGAGCGCCGCTCTTCCGAATGCTTATTGTTTCAGCGGGTCTGGGTCTGTTTTTGTTTTTGCATTGTTGTTGATGCCTTCCTTTTTCCCTCGGTTTTGTCCTTGGCACTAGAATCATTCGGCGAGTCCTTCTTACGATAAGTTCTGGTACTTATTATGAGTGCCTTCTCACCGTTGTTGCCACTACTTGCGATGGCAACTTTACTAGACTCATACTTGGAGGGTCGGAGGACTTAGCAAGTAGGTAATAAGTAGACTTATAAGTACCCTAAAAGGGATTCTAATTGGGGTTATGGTACTTATAAGTCCCTAAAATAACTAGTTACTAAGTCCCCCGACTCTCCAAGTAACTATCTAAGCCCTAAACTCCGAAAAAATAGCTCCAAGAATCGCGAAACCCCGGCCCCAAATCCGAAGCCCTAAAGCCCAAAACCTCGAGCCCCAATTCCCACAGCGAGACTTTTGCACTGCCTAAACAAACCCTAAACCCTAAACCCTAAACCCCAAATCCTAAACCCTAAACCCCAAAGCCCCAAAGCTGCAAGCCTGAATCCCTACTGGGAGGATCATGGGACTTAGTAAGTAGGGTTATAAGTACCCTCATTGGGGTTATAAGTTATTATAAGTATAGTTACCCTAATTATAACCCTAGTTACTAAGTCCCATGACCCTTTAAGTATGCCCTGAACCCTAAGCAAAGCTGGGTTGTCCTTTGGGATCTTTTTTTGACTTTCCCCGACTATTTTGTAGAGAACCATCATAGTAAATAATGTTCATAGGGCTTAAGGGACGACTCAGAAAGAGGCTGAGCTTTGAAGCGATGTAGTTGAGGGTTTGCAGCTTCTAGGCCCAGGGCAGTTGCAAGAGTTCTACAAGGGTTCCAGTCGGTCCCCCCTTTGCTTACCACACATGGACCACCAACCGGACCAGCTATCCTCAAGCCCTTAAGTTTTTTTGATCTGAAAGGCCGTTAGTTAGATTTCTTTCATGGCTTCAGGTCGTTCTTTTAGGTGTATATTCGGGTTTGAAAAGGGAATATCCAAACTCGCACCCCAGGAGGGAGGAGACGAACTTGTTTGAAGCCTCCAGCACGTGATACAGTAGAAGCCAGAAAGTTGGAATATCATTATCCTAACCCTTCTGTGGTAAATTATAGGGGATCCTACCATTAATCCATATTCCAACTTTCTGGAGTTCCCTTTAAGGCCTGCATCATCGATCCTGAGACGAAGCTGGGCAACCTAGATCTTGGCTCTTTCTGGGGATGTTGGGGCGCAAAAAAAACCGAAACCCTAACCCCTAAACCCCCAAGCCCTACACCCCTAACCCTAAACCCTTGAACCCTAAACCCCCTGCAATAAACCCCAAAACCCTAAACACCTAAACCCCTAAACCCTAAAAGCCTAAACCATAACCTCCCAAACCCTAAACCCTAAATCCTTACGGCTGTAGGGTGAAGCAACTGGGCCGGGCTCTCCTCCGCTTAAAGGAAGCCTTATTGAGAACCCTTAAAGGAACTCTTAAGGGAACCCTCAAGGGAAGCTTGGAGGGTTTCCTTGAAGGGGATGTTTGTTGGCTTAAGGCCTTCGGTTGTTTTTTTGGGGGTTCAGCTTTTGGGGTTTCAGGGTTTGGGGCGTTAGGCCTTCGGGATTTAGGGTTCCCTAAACCCTAAACCCCTAAACCCTAAACCCCTGAACCCTAAACCCCGAAACCGTAAACCCTAAACCCCTAAACCTTAAACCCCGAAGCCCTAAACCCTAAACCCCAAACCGGGGTTTAGGAGTTTCGGATCAGAGTTCGGGGTTAAGGGGAGATCCCACGGCTCCCAACATCGCTGCTCAACTCATAATCATTCAGGCATCAGGGGGGCCTTCGGGGGTGGCGGGTGGGGGTTTAGGGTTGAGTTGTGGCCTTTTTGTTCATTGTTTAAAGTTTAGGGGTTTAGGGTTTAGGGTTTAGGGTTTCAGAGCTTAGGGCTTAGGGGTTCCGGGCATGTTTAGGGCTTGGGAGTGGGAGTCTCTGTGATGCTTGTGGCTGCCGTCGTCGTGTCGTTGTCGCGATCGTTGTAAACGTCGTCCTCCAAAACCCCTTAATTCAGGAATTCCAAAATCCCTCAATTAAGGAATGTACCCTAAATTATAATGGGATCCGTACTATGATGTAGGGTCTATTCCTCAAGTAATGGGTTTTGGAGTCTCTGGGATCGTCGTCCTCCTGGTGCTTACTTAAAGGGTCATGGGACTTAGTAACTAGGATTATTCTTAGGGTAACTATACTTATAATTACTTATAACCCCAATTAAGGTACTTATAACCCTACTTACTAAGTCCCATGATCCTCCAAGTAGTCAAACCTCAGGACCCGAGGTCGAGCCCCGGTTAGGCTCAGTCTACGACCTTAAGGTATAGGGTATAGGGTTTAGGGTTTAGGGTGGTCTAGGGTCTAGAGTATAGGGTTTAGAGTCTAGGGTTTAGGGTTTAGGGTCTAGGGTTTACGGTTTAGGGTTTAGGGTCTAGGGTTTAGGGTCTAGGGTTTAGGGTCTAGGGTTTAGGGTTTAGGGTCTAGGGTCTAGGGTTTAGGGTTTAGCGTTTTGAGCTTAAGCTCAAAACCCGCATCCAACCCCCGAAGCAGAATTCCCAAATCGCCCCTGAAGCCCGAAGGCCTAAATCCAAGTCTACAGGCACCAAAAGACTAGGACCTAGAGTAGGCCCTTATTCCCTTTTTAAGGGGTTCAGGTTCCCTTATAAGCCCCTTTAAACCAAAAAGGGCACCCTTTTTATTCCTAGGTTACTCTTGGGTCTAGAAGAACAGTACTCCTTAGTCACGTAATGGATCTGACAGCATGCAATGCAAAGGATCCCAAACCCCCCAAACCCTAAACACAAAACTCTAGACACTGAATACCTTTACACGAAACGCTCCGATGCGATTGCAGCCGCCATGAGCAATGCGTACTGGACGTGCGGCCGCACGTCGTGCCAGGAACGTAACATGCTGTGGAGGAAGCTGTGTTTTAAATGCAGCAGCAAAAAGAGCTCCGCATGTTACATTACTCAGGGCGTGCCTCCCGACGAGGGCGATGAGGACGAGGGTTCCTCCTCGGACGAATCCGAGGGTACCCGCATGGAGCGAATTGAGAAGTCGCTGCATGCGGACCCTCTGGCGGAACACGCCCGCAAGTTTTTGCGTTCCGGCCGCAAAAGGGTTCGAGCCGAGAAACGCCGCGAGCAGGAGTTGTCGAACGACTCCCAACGGGCGTGGTGGACCCTGCACCCCAAACCTAAACCCTCAATCCTGACATGTAAAACCTAAACCCTAATATCCTTTAACTTAGGAATATACCCTAAGTTATAATTAATAGGATCCTTAATATGATTTAGGGCATATTCCTTCATTAAGGGATATTGGAGTTTCCGGGTTCCAGGGGGTTAGGGAGTAGTGGGCCAGCTCGATAGCCGATTTCTGCTCCTTCAGAGCCATGGCCCGAAGTGCTGGGCCCCAAAGCTTTTAGGGTTCAGGGTTTAGGGTTTAGGGTTTAGGGTTTAGGGTTCAGGGTTTAGGGTTTAGGGTTTAGGGTTTAGGGTTCAGGGTTTAGGGTTTAGGGTTTAGGGTTTAGGGTTTAGGGTTTAGGGGGGTTCATTTAGGGTTTAGGGTTTAGGGTTTAGGGGGTTTAGGGTTTTAGGGTTGGGTTAGGGTTTAGGGTTTAGGGTTTAGGGTTAGGGTTTAGGGTTTAGGGTTCAGGGTTTTTAGGGTTTAGGGTTAGGGTTCGGTTCAGGGTTTAGGGTTTAGGGTTTAGGGTTTAGGGTTTAGGGTTTAGGGTTTAGGGTTTAGGGTTTAGGGTTTAGGGTTTAGGGTTTAGGGTTTAGGGTTCAGGGTTTAGGGTTTAGGGTTCAGGGTTTAGGGTTTAGGGTTTAGGGTTCAGGGTTGCGGGTTTAGTATTTAGGGTCTCCAGGCCCCCTTTTTGCCCGGAACTTGCAAACAAAGAGCTCTCGACACCCTAAGCCCTTGTGCCTAGCCGCAAACCTAAATTCCTAAATAAAGGCACACTATGCCTCGTGGGTTGGTCGGGGAGCTCTACGTCGGAGGGGCCTGCCTTGCCCGCTTTGGTGGGTTTTTACAAGATTTCATAAGGGTTCCGCAAGGCTTCTCCACGGCTTTTGTAGGCGTTTGAGGAGGGGTTTGTAGATATTAGTTTTTGGGTGTGAAGGGGTCTACCCTAACCCTAAACCCTTAAGGTTCCAGCGTTCGGGACCAGAACCGACAGTTTAGGATTCTTGGTTTCACCGTTAAGGATTTGGGGATAACGCCTCGGGTCCAGAATTTTTGGCGTTTGGTTAAAGGGGTTGAGGTTTAGAGTTTGATTAGGGGGTTCAAGGTTAGGGGGTTTGGGGTTTAGGGGTTTAGGATTTCGGGTTGAGGGTTGAGGGTTGAGGGGGTCAGGATTTAAGGTTCAGCGTTTAGGGGTTTTGGGTTAGGGTTCAGGGTTCAGGGTTCAGGGTTCAGGCAAACTCCCAGCAAGAAAGTATGCTGTCAAGATCAGGACTTGGAGGGTCGGGCGGCTTAGTCAGTACCCGTAGGTAATAAATAAACATATAAGTACCGCAGTGGGATCCTAATTGGGGTTATCCAAGGAGTCACCCTAAACCCTGAACCCTAAACCCCAAACCATATATAAGCCCTATTCGCCCCATAAGCCTCTCAACCCTAAACCCCAAACCCTAAACCCTAAACCCCAAACCCGAAACCATAAAACCCAAATCCTATAAACACTTAAATCCCTTAAAGAGCCCTTATAAGACCCCCTTAAAGGACCCTTTAAAGGAACCCTAGACCCTACCTGTTCTAACTTGTAAGGCCCTGATATTATAAGCCCTACACCCTACCAAGTTGAATTCGGGGTTTGAAGCGAAGTCGACTTGGACTTCTAGGGCCCCAAAAAGGCACATAAGCAAAAATTTGGATAGGGATATCCCATATAAACCCCCTTATAATGAAGCCCAATAAGGTAGGGACATCCCGGTAAACTGCTTATCTAGGATACCCAGTAACCTAAGAACGAAAAGGCCTCTCTTTTCGGTATTGGGTAACTTTATAAGGAACCTAGGACTACAAAAAGGTAATAAGGGTACTACTGGGCATCCTAGTTTAATACAGGAGCCTAAGTGATTACCAAAGTCCCTCCCTAGGGTTCCTTTTTATATGGGGTTTCGGAAATTTGGGGGTGCCTTATTTCGGGGTCCTTATAAAAAGGATCCTACTCCTTAGGTTACCATAATTAGGGTCCACTGCTTTTGGAAACTCCCATATCCGTTCAGTCCCAAAGCCCTTTCTCCATTCCCTACTCGGTGGATGTTGTTTTCTGGGTTTAAACCCTATATCTAGATCCTCAATTCCGAATAACTCTGATCCCAGCAGCAATTGAATCCCGAAAGCCGCAACTCAGGACGTTGTTTCTACATCCTGTAATCCTCCTTCCCGGGCTCTACAGCCCCAGCCCTAAACCCTAAACCCTAAACCCTAAACCCTAAACCCCAAAGCCCTCAACCCTAAACCCTAGGCCCCGAACGGTGGACTCCAAAGCTCCAAACCCCAAGAAGGCAACCCTCGGTTCTCAAATCCCAAACCCGAAACCCACCACCCGACAAAAGAAGGCCATCAACTGCAAAACCTTGAACCCTGAACTCCAACCCTAGGTGTGGTTATAAGTCGGGTTATACGTAAGAAAACTATGGTTATAGCCCATATTTGGGGACGAAAAATCCACTTATAACTGCCGATGAGCCGCCAAGCAGACTTGACAAGACCCTCTGCAGTGTTCCGCTTGGCCAGCCGGTGCTGTCCTTCGGCTACCACGGCCAGATCGATGCTACAGCGGCCAAGTTCTCCGAGGGTGCGAATGGGGATATGGCCTGGGCCGCAGTGTAGAGTTTTGTGGTTGGGGGGTTTAGGGTTTAAGGTTTGTGGTTTGAGGGTTTAGGCTTCAGGGTTTAAGGTTTGGGGTTTGAGGGTTTAGGGCTTCAGGGTTTGAAGGTTTAGGGTTTGAGGGTCATCGTTTAGGGTTTGAGGGTTTCGTTTAGGATTCGGAGTTTTTGGGTTTAGGCAGTGTCGAGATTTAGGGTTTGTGATGATCTTGAAACGGAGTATTTTGCCTCTCAGATTGGAGGTTTACCGTCTCAGGGCTCCTAAGGTGGAGACCTCAGAGAAAGTCCAAAGAAGTTGCATCGAAGGTTCTCGAAGTCCTGGAGCGTAAAGGGAACTCCAGAAAGTTGGAATATGGATTAATGGTAGGATCCCCTGTAATTTACCTTAAAGGGGTTACGATAATGATATTCCAACTTTCTGGCTTCTACTGTAAGGAAGCCCAGTAGCCCACACCCCGAAACTCTTGTTTCTGGTGCAGGGGCTCAGGGTTAAGAGCCCAAGCCCTGAACCCGAAACGCTTAAGCCCGAAGCCCCAAACCTGAAACCAAACATACCCTGAACCCTAAACCCTAAAGCCATTTTGGCTCAAGGCCTGAGGTGCAAAGTGTCGATAGTCTCTGGGCTGGATGTCTGGGCGGATGCAGCTTGGGGGTGGAGATGCGACCATGAAGAAGGTGCCCGAAGGGGATGACTCCGACTTGGCAAGTCCCAAGCGGCGTCGTGAGAATGCTGCACCCCCAGGACTCGGGGATCACGCCAAAGGGTCGGATGACGCGAGGGTTACCCTTGATATGCATCACATGGAAGCCTTGCTTGCGGCCCAGGCTAGCCAGATTGTGAATGCTAACCAGGCTCAGATCCAGTCCCTGTTTACTTCCCTGGAAACCAAGTATGATCAGAAGTTTGCTGACGCTGGCCTGCGCTTTGACAATGTGGAAGAGCGTGTTGCTGGAGTGGAGAGCAAACTGGCTCGTATCGAGGACATGATCAGTAAGGGTCGTGGGATGCTCGGACCAGGGGAGGGTGATGAATCCCGTCGTCGCCTCACCTTGGTGTTTGGAGGCTGGAGACAAGACACCCCAAAGAAAGTAATCCTGGGTGAAGTGGAGGAGGCCCTTCGTAGGCTACAGCTACTTGGCTCAACGGACTCAGCTGCCTTCACGACCGGTCCCCGTCGGTCAGTCGCACTCATGGCTTTCAGACAGAGGACAGGGGAGGACTTCGGGGATACACGCCGCCGAATGCTTGGGATTGTGACCAGCCTGGCAGAAGCAGCTCCTATGACATCGCACAACAAAAAGATGTGGTGCAGCTTTTCGAGGACGAAGGCTGAAAGGGATGTCAGTGGGCATGCCTCTTGGCTGAAAAGGGCCGTGGGGCTGATCGACAAAAGCTTGGTCTCGAACCTTGATGTCGAGTTTTCAACCGGCACGGTGTGGTGTGGTGAATCCATGGTGGCAAGTGCTACTAAGTCTCCTCCCAGCGGGGTTCCGGATGCCGACGTGATGTGGGACGAGGGCTTGGTGGCCAGGCCTTGGATCTGGGTGCCGGCCCTTGCTAGGGAGCTTGGCCGGGACGAGAACCATCTCCGTCAAGCCATTGAGGAGACCAAGCGCTGACCCCTGGACCTCGCAGTTCAAACATTGCATGACCTCTCTGGTCCGATTCTTGCTGGAGTGGGCCAAGCCCCGAGGCGGGAGGAACCAGTGCTAGAGCTGCAGGCACTCGGGTGGAACATGGGAGGTGCTCCATTGGAGGATCTGCTGCCTGCGATTCAGGACTGTACCGCACAACCTTTGCGAGAAAAAGTGTGCCTCCTGCAGGAATGTCCTCGCGGGCCCCAGGGCTGGCGATCCGAAACGATTCAGGGATACAAACTCGTACAGCACCGGTCTGTAGACCAGTGGCGAGGGGTCGGGGTTCTTTTTCATCCTGATGTCTGGGCAGTTGTCGTGAGAAAGTCTTCCAGCAAGGGTATGTGGGTTCGCCTCAAGCACCTGGAGAGCTCTCAGCATATCTGGTTTGGCTCCTTGCACCTGCCCCCAGGGTTGACCCAGGCAGACTACCAGGCCGCCTTTGAGGAGTTCTGGGAAAAGCTTCCGAGTGGATCGGGGCGAGCCATTATGTCAGGGGATTTGAATGCACCGTTTTCTTGGACACCGGGGGCTCAGTTGGATGTACCCTTCGGGCTTGATGGCAAAGGGGTTCTCTTCTTGGATTGCCTGCTTCGAAGGGGTTTTCAGGCCTTTGCGCCTGCCAGGGTCCAGCAAGGGCTGCCAACGAGTCGGCCGCGTCAAGAAGGGAGACAGGGGTCGCGGATTGATATCATGGCAAGTCGTGGCCTGACTCACTCTGGTCTGGTAGTGCATGTGGACTCCTCACGGGCTCTTGGGACAGACCATGAACTCCTACAGGCCTCGGGGTATATCAGGGCTGCCAGGGCTTTCAGGCGACCTCGTACTTGCCCCCGTGTTTGGGTTGGGGGAGTGGACCAGATTAACTCTATTACTGCTGACAAACTTGGGGTCCTGGCCTTGAAGTGCACCAAGCCCAAACCAAGTTCGGCGTATCGCGACTCTCCAGCGACCAAGGCGGCCTTCCGCACAGCCAAGCTTACAAAAACCCGTGCAGCATGGAAGTTTGCCTTGAATTCCAGGAGGCAGGAGCGTCGAGTGTGGGAACAGGCCCGCCTCAACAGGGCCTCTCAGTGTGACTGGGGTGCAGTTCGGGAAGTCAGGGGTCAGGGTCAGGGTTCGTGGCAGGATGAGTTTGCAGCAGCACAGGCTAAGGATCCTCATGACGTGGTTGAGGCTCACCTTAAATCGCTCTACGAAGCAACACCGGTCTCGCCTTCAGTGACTCCTCAGGGCTCGGCTTCGGCATTCACAGTGGATGAGATCAAGCGAGGGGTTTCTCAGATGAAGCAGGGGAAATCAGTTGGTGCGGACCTGACGTCTCGGGAGTTATTTGAGGGAATCCTTTCGATCTCCGGGGGCCCGGGCCACTTGGCGGAGTTCTTCACGTCCATTTTGGTGTCGAGGGATGTGCCGACTGACTGGAACAAGTCGGTTCTGGTTTTGCTGGCAAAAATTCCCAAACCCTTGGCTCCGCGTGACCTCAGGCCAATCGCTTTGGGAAGCGCTGCTTCGAAGCTCTTTGCCAGGCTCCTCCTGAACAGATGCCTTCCTAAACTTGGCCCGAAAACGCCCCACCAGTGTGCCCGCGAGCACCGCCAAAGCAACGACTATGTCTTTTCGCTGTGGCGTGTTTTAGAGTTGTGTCGTGAATGGAACAAGCCAATCACCTGTGTTAAGATTGATATCCACAAGGCCTTTGACAGTGTGAACAGAACAGTCTTGATCCAAAAGCTCCGGCAGCGACTTGGGGATACACACGAGATGGCTTGCTTTGAACAGCTGCTCATCGACAACATTGCCTTACTCGTTACCCCTTGGGGAATGTCTGAATTCAGAACTGACTCTGGAATTAAGCAGGGGGCGGTCGAAAGCCCTTGCTTCTTTAGTCTTCTGATGGAGGAAGGGCTCCAAGAGGCTTCGGACCTACACGGCTGGGCTACCCAACCGCTGCTGTTTCCGGACATGGTGTACGAGTCTGCATTGTTTATGGATGATGGCATCTTGTGGGGGGATTCCCCGACAACGGTGGGTACACGTCTTGAGCAACTGATGCATATTCTTCAGGGGTACGGGCTGCAGCTTAACATCCAGAAGTGTCAACTGTACTGCAGCAAGGACACACAGGGGACCAGGGAGATGTGGATCCGAGGTCACTGTCTCCACTCTGCTGACCATTTGGAAGTGATGGGGTTGATGATGCGCAAAGGGATGTCTATGTGTGAGCTTCTCCAGCCCCTGATACACCGTGCCAAGCAGAAGTTCTGGAGCTTGAAGCATCTCCTGAGGTGCAAAACCCCGATTTGGGGGAGGGTTCAGCTCTTTCAACGAATCGTGTCAGGCTGCGCGCTGTGGTGTATCTCTTCGCTCCCACCCGACAAGTCGGCGTTGGGGCTTCTCAACAGCATCCAGGCCATGCTGATAGGGTGGATGATGCGCCTCTTTCGCTCTCCTAGCGAGTCGTGGGTACAGTTCAGACAAAGGGTTGTTCGTTCGGCCAGGGCGGTGCTGCATAAGTCTGGGTGTCTGCGCTGGAGCTCCTTGTGGTTGCAACGTTGGTGGGACTATAGTGGTCACCGTGTTCGAAGTATGATGGCGCCAGCACCACCCCTTAGTGCTTACCTGGACGAGTTTAGAAGCCTCTCCTGGTGGCGAAGGGTTCAGGGATTAAAGAATGGTCCTCGGCATGGTCACCATTTTGCTCGTCTTACGGCACTTGAGGAAGGGATGAACAGGGTTTGCAAAGGGCCTTGGAGAAGCAGTGCACACAACCGTACTTTATGGAGAACACTCAGGGCTACTTGGGTGGATCAAAACGATCTGCCTTGGGCATCGGGGCGACAGCTTGCACTTCCAGACTGGGGTTAAGCAGGGAAACACTCCTTGCGACACCAGGGATAGGGCTAGGGCTGCAGGGGCTCAGTGTGAATGACGACGCGTTCTGACAACAATGAGGCCCTCGGCTCAGTCCCCGTGCAGGCATACGTCGAACTTTGGTGCTTGCCATGGCCTTCAATTTGTGGACTTTCGCAATGCTCGTGATGTTTGCCTTCGGAGTTCTCCAAGGGATGAAGGGGGCAAACACGGGTGCCAACCGCGCACCGGACAAATCACCTTTCATATCTACGACAACTCGGTTGTCTCATGCCTTGGTCACCGGTTTGGTGATTCGAGGCGCGTCAACAGCCCCAGTGCTCGGCCTTCTTGGGGCCTTGGGCACCGCATCGGCCCAGCCACCAGTGGTCTTTGGAGGCTGGCCGCCTTTTTGGTATGTCAGCGCCAGTGACATGCAGCGAGCCCTGCTCGATGATGGCCACTCACCTCGGGAAATGATCGCCATGCTTCGCCAACTTATCCTGGCAAGGGAGGACGGGCATTACGAGGAGCAAACATCGCTGCTCTTGGAGTCCTTCGCTCAGGCAGCCGGTGTGGATTCCGACATCTACTCCAATATGTGGGTTCCCCTGAGTGGATACTCTGCCCAATGGGCTCGCTACGTGGAGGAACACTGCCATGAGGAATACCTTGAAGTGTGGTACCCGGTGGAGCAGACAGTTATGGAGCGGCTGGCCCGTGATGGGCCTACACTTCTGTTGCCTCTTCCACAGCCTCAGAGGGAGACGGAAGCGGCCGCGGTGAGGCGTCTGGCGTTCAACCGCAAGAGGCGCTTGCCTGCAGAACAAGCTCAGCTGCATGGGATCACCCCTGGGAGCTCCAGTTCTTGTCTCGCTCCCGGGCAACGAGAGCATGGCACCACATCATGCATCGATCCCAGGGCTGACTGGATGCAATCGGCCATTGGCTTCTTGCAGCGAGCGAGGGGGGAAGGGCACCATGAGTGGGGCCTCCAACAGCTCCGGAACCGGATCTATGGGCGCCTTGATGCCGACTACCGAAGACGTGCTCTCACCTATGTGCAAGAACTGGAGCCGCCAATCGGCCATGGTGTTGCCACCGAGCACGAACCTCCACAGTATGTTCAGGATTGGGCGAGACTGGCTGAAGCGGACCTTTTCAGACACCTCCAAGCTTGGCCGGACACATGCCATGCGGATGCCACATCGTTGGTGCAGCGGCAGATTAGCAAGAAGTGGCTCAAGAAGCCTGCACCAGCTCCCGTCAGAAGCAGGGTCTACCCGCCGAGCTCAGGCAGTGGCCGTGCCCGGCCGGATAAGGCAATCAGCTCTGAAACCCTCAGGTTGACCGAGCGCATTCCGATTGCCCGTGGCGATAGGGCAGCTGAGGAATGCAGGGTCAGGGAGCCTGCTACACCACCGAACCGCCTGACCCTGGAAGAAGCAGTGGATGTCTGGAGTCTTATGCTTGGGTTGACTACAGAAGAGGATGTGGACCGCAACCCTGGTCAAGTCTTGGGCTCCTTCTCTTTGGCCGCCATTCCTGATACATTCTTGGGTTATGGGGTGGCAGATAGACTCACATTGACCCTGGCCTTCCAACGTGTGGTGGCTAAACTGCTTCATGCTATCGGTGCCCTCTTGGAGCGCACGGTGGAAAAGGAGCGGGCCGGACGTGCTGCGGATCATGGTGGACCTGATGCTACGAGTTTGATGCAACTGGGTGTGCCAGGCCTGATCACGTCCGACAGCGAATACACCGCCTTCCTGACAGACTTCCGCTTTGCCTTTGAGCAGATGTCCAAAGCTGCCCGTCGGGCAAATGCCCGCACAATATGGAAGTGGATGGACTTTGCCTTTACCAACGCGGAAATAGGCCTGTGCTTGGGTCATATGCGTGGACGGATTGAGCAAGCCCTGGCTGTGGTGATTGCTGCCATCGCCTCCACTGACGAGTTACAATGCTCGGAACCAGTGGAGCCAAGCCCGATCTGGTGCAATATGTGGTGGAACCGGCTCTGTCTCTTTGTGCCAACTCACCCGGGATCGAATAAGGCTCGTGGATTGCGACCAATGCCGGGCGACCCACACCCGGTACTGGCCCAGCATCCGTTACCTGATGAGAGCGAGATGGAGGAGGAGCCAGAGGGACCGGGGGTGCCCAAAACCGCATACCGGACTCACCGATGCTCAGAAAGGGACTTGGATGCTCTAGTGGAAGAGCAGCGTCAAGATGAGGATCGCGAGGCATGCCTGCGAGAGCGGGAAGCGGCCGAGGCGGCCAGGGCAGCAGCAGCTCATGATGAAGAAGAAAGCCAAGCGATGGAAGCCTTGACCGATGAGTACATGCTTGACAGTGGTTTGCTTGCTAGCCTCTCCCCGACCGAGTACCAGGCCTGGGAAAGACGGGTCATGGCACGCGAGTTACGAAAGCCTCCGGGTCCATATCGCCCCACAGAGAGGTGGCTTGAGGTGGAGCTCTCCTCAGGGAGTGGCGACTGCCCTCGGGTGTCACACACCTGTCGGTTCCCGCTGCCTCACCATGGAGAAGTCTTTACCTTACAGGCGAGGGTTGTGGAGCATCCCAGGGACGACCAAACTCAACCAGCCGAGGCAGGTGGGGCCCCGGATGTGGACACTGGTGCTGGGGTTGGCAGTTCGGATGCCGAGACACTCAGGGTTGAAGATGGGGTCGCACCGACATTGATGCAGGGGCCTGTCTCTCCAAGCGATGGCCCTCCTCAGCAGATGGTGGAAGTCAATGCAGGGGATGACGATATCAACTCTGCTTTTGAACCCGTCACGTATGGATGCACCACCTTGTCAATGGAGCAGTGCCTACTTCTCTACCAGCAGTGGGTCAGGGGTGAAGTGTCGTCTGAAGCTGTCGAGAAAGAGCATGGGGCAGAAGTACGCGAGTTCTTGGAGCTGCAATATATTGCAGAAGCAGGGGCTTTTGAGACGCAGGGTGCAACCGTCACCTGGTCTTGAGACCTTCCGGAGGTTTGCTGACGGAAAAAGGTGCTTAAAAACAAAAAACCTAAACCTTAAACCTTAAGCCTTAAAGCCTAAACCTTAAACCCTAAACCTTGAACCCTAAACCTTGAACCCTAAACCCTAAGCCCTGAAGCCCTAAATCCTGAAGCCCTAAAAATCTGAAGCGCTTGTTCCCCAGACTGAAAAGCGCCAGGGCTCGGAGACGTACTTGGAGGATAGTGGGAGTTAGTAAGTAGGTAACAAGTATAGTAGTAGTAGTAGTAGTAGTAGTAGTAGTAGTAGTAGTAGTAGTAGTAGTAGTAGTAGTAGTAGTAGTAGTAGTAGTAGTAGTAGTAGTAGTCGTAGTAGTAGTAGTAGTAGTAGCAGCAGCAGCAGCAGCAGGAGTAGTAGTAGTAGTAGTAGTAGTAGTTATAGAGTTATAAGTACCCTAAAAGGGATCCTAATTGGTGTTATGGTATTTATAAGTCTCCAAAAGAAATAGTTCCTAAGTCCCCTAAACCCTAAACCCTTACTGAATCCCTATAGATCCCTGTAAAGGAACCCTAAAGGAACCCCTTATAGTTACTAAGTCCCCCGACCCTCCAAGTAATCCCTGCGGCCTCACCCTTGGAGAAAGGGCCAGCCCCAGAGCTTCCAAAGCCCCTTAATTAAGGAATATACCTTCAAGGGTTCCTTTAACGGGTCCTTAAAGGGGTTTATAGGGTTTAGGGGGTCCTAATATCTCTTAATTAAGGAATGTCTAGGTAGGATTGTGGGGCATTTTGTGTTTTCCTTATTTAGGTAAGGGACCCTATATATAAATATTTTTCAGGGTGTTAAAGGCCAACCCAAAATATACCTTAGATCATATTAGGGATCCCGACTATAGCTTCAGGTATATTCCTGAATTAAGGGATTTTGGAAGGTCTGGGTCCTCCTTAGAAAAAGAGCCCCAAGCCCTAAATCCCAAGCGTCGGCCTGGCGAGGTGGCCCTAAGCCAGGGCAAGTGGAGATGGTACAAGACAGGCCGGGTCATGGAGGGAATAGGGTTTAGGGTTTAGGGTTTAGGGGAGGTATATTCTACTATAGCTATAGTAAGGAATGCCCAAAGCCACCCCGGCCGGGTGGGGCCAAGAGATACTGGAGACCATTGACCCATCCTAAGTAGTGCCCTCCTGCCCTTTGCACATTTAGGGTCCCCTTACAGTAGAAGCCAGAAAGTTGGAGCATCATTCCCCTCATGCCCTTAAGGTAATGCATAAGGGATCCTCCTAAAGTCAGGTTCCAACTTTCTGGCTTCTACTGCATTAAAGCCGAGGTATCCTTTTCAAAAAAAAGGGGCTGCTCAGGAACCCAGTGGATGATAAGGGTTTGAGCTTTACGGCTTTACGGTTTAGGGTTTAGGGTTTTGGGGCCTAAACCCTAAACCCTAAACGTTCTCAGTATGGATTCGGGGTCTAGCGAGTTGGAGGTTGGGGTTCAGGGCTCAGGGTTCAGGTTAGGGTTGTATCGACTTGTTTTCCGTGGGTAATGAAGGTGGCACTAACCCTACTTCGGGGGGTTGGGGGGTTGAGGGGGCTGAGTTATCTATTTAGATATAAAAACTTCAGGAGCCCAATCAGGTTCCCTTTTAGGGTACATATAGCTCTGCTTGTTGCAGACTTACTACGTCTCCCGGCCCTGCAAGTAGACAACCTAAACCCTAAAATCCTAAAGCCCGAAAGCCCTAAACCCTAAACCCTAAAATCCTCAAGCCCGAAAGCTTTAAACCCTAAACCCTAAACCCTAAAATTCTAAAGCCCGAATGCCCTAAACCCTAAACCCTAAACTAAACCCTACAATCCTAAAGGCCGAAAGCCCTAAAGCCCCCCAAAGCCCGGAAGCCCTAAACCCCGGCCCTGACCTAAAAAACCCGGCGAGCCAAGTCTCAAGCTGAGACCCTTCGGACGGCTGTGTACCCAGAGCCTCCAAAACCCCTTAATTAAGGAATATACCTTAAATTATAGTAGGGATCCTAATATATGATTTTAAGGTATATTCCTTAATTAAGGGATTTTGGAGGCTCTGGGCTGTGTAGCCCCTCTTTTGGATTGGGAAAACCCTGAGAATCCTCAAGAACGCAGAGACTTTGCATTTCGGTTCTTCGGGTTTAGGGCTTCTAGATATAGGTTTTGCGGTTTTGGAATCACCAAGGCTGAAGAGTGCATGCTAGGTGGGGGGTCCTCTGAGTTCGCCTGAGGCCCTTTTACGGGGTTTGGTGGTTCAGAGATTGAAGTTCGGGGAATAGACTGGGAAGTACAAGGGTTCAGGGTTTCATGATCTTACTTCTACGGTTTAGGGTGGGGGTTTTCAAGGCCCCTAAACTCGAAACCCTAAACCCTATAAGAATGTGGCTTTCGTTTTGGGGGTCTTAAGCCTTTGCGACAGCTGCCGAAGGCGACGCAGCGCGCTTCGTCGGGGATCCGCCGGTGCTGGAAATCCGGGGAAGGACAGCCCTTACCTTTAAACCCGGAACAAATGACCTTTTTAAGGACTTATATAAGGACATCATAATAAGGAGCCCTAAAAGGTAGGTTAGTCAACACCCTAAACCCTAAACCCTAAACCCTAAACCCTAAACCCTAAGTCAGGGCTAAGGTATACTGCCTGGAAACTTTAGGCTGGAGGGGCTTGCGTTAGTTGAGGATAAGGGCTGCTTAGGGCTTAGGGTTAAGGGTTCAGGGTTTAGGGTTTAGGATTCAGGGTTTAGGGTGTGGGCTTTAGGCTTTAGGGTTTATGAGTTTATGATTTTTGGGTCAAGCATTCGGGTTTCAGGGGGTTGGGGTTGATAGGTGAGGTTAAGGGCAGTTAAGGGTGTATGATTTTTGGGTCAAGCATTCGGGTTTCAGGGGGTTGGGGTTGATAGGTGAGGTTAAGGGCAGTTAAGGGTGTATGATTTTTGGGTCAAGCATTCGGGTTTCAGGGGGTTGGGGTTGATAGGTGAGGTTAAGGGCAGTTAAGGGTGTATGATTTTTGGGTCAAGCATTCGGGTTTCGGGGGGTTGGGGTTGCGGGGCTGGAAGCTTCACCACACTCAACATCCCTTCGGTAAAGGCTGTGAAGCCTATGTACGTCCTGAACAGAAAGACCCTTCTAAGTCTCTACCAGATCCCGTAATTCGCAAGCTACGCCCTAAGCTGCTGGACCCTCAACCCTGCTTGGAGGATCATGGGACTTAGTAAGTATGGTTATAGGCTATAGGTATCCTATTTGGGGATATAAGTTATTATAAGTGTAGTTATCCTAATAATTACCCTAGTTATGATCCTGTAATACTGCAAGTACATTCCTGAACCTTGAACCCTTGTGAAATTTCCCTGTCTTGAAGCGCCGTGTTGACATGTCCTCATGCGAGCGTAGTTTTTGTGTTAGTTCTGAACGCACCCTGTACGACAGACGTCTTGGGCTCAGACCAAAAAGTGTGCTCGTTTGTGTGGTTGGACACTCACTAATCCAGTTCCTGCTTCAAACTGGTAGCGGAGCTGTGAGGACAACCACTAGTGTTTCACCCCCGTTGAGCCTGTGGTCCGGGGTCCGTTGGGTAGAGTAGTGATAGTCGCGGCGCAAAGGCCCCTTCTATCCTCGAAGCCATGAGCGTGGCAGGTTTGCGTTACCAGCCCAATCTCTGGTCACAGAACCTGAGCCCTGCAGAAACCAAAAGCGGATCGTACATATACGACGGTACGGCTGCTGGCTTCCATGATTGGTGCTTCCGGACACAGATCCGTGTGCTGCAGCATAAGGAGAAGCAGCGGCGCGAAGCTCTTAAGGACCTGCGTTTTGCCGAGTCGGCAAGGGCCAAGAGCGAGTCACCAAGGAAGTGGCGTGGCAGGGCAAGTCAGGGGACCAGTGCATCGCCCACAGATGGTGATGGAAGCAGCGGTATACCCGCCAGTCCGTCCAGCGCAAAACGGACTAAGCCCGCGTCCGAGGCAGAAGATGAGGATGCGGAGTCGCTACCGTCGCACCCCAGCCAAGTGGCGGGCGACGATGAGCAAGAGCCGGACACAGATCCGGCGGTGTACACCTTGCAAGACGTCAAGGACGAGTCGCTCGACATGAGCGAATGCGTTAGCAAGATCCTAGAGGGTCTCCGAGGAGATGCCTTTTGCATCGCTCGCGACGTCGGCCTGGAACGTCTGCTTCGCCATGACGGCGTCGACTACCTGATAGAAGAAATCAGGAGGCAAGCCTTCCCTCTTCAATCCGAAGAGGCGTCCGAACTTTTCCGTCAGGGACAGCTCCTGACGGGCCCACTTGCAAAGCAACCTGGCGAGCCTATGTTGTCTTACATAGCCCGCCGAAAGCGGTGGTGGTCGACCTTGCGTGAGCTGGATCCTGATATCCGCCTTTCTGAAGCAATGAGGGCTAATCTCCTTGTTGAGCTTTCAGGGTTGGAAAGGTCCGAGCAGCTAATGGTCAAGACCGCCGCCCGCGTACACAGCGTGGATGAGTACGCACGCGTCCTTGTTCAGCATCACTCAGTGGTGCACATGAAGGAACGTCTTCTTACCCAGAAGGACCCTAGTGGCCCAGGTAAGACCTGGAGACGTTTCGACGCTAAGCCCCAATACCCTAAGTTCGGCTATATGGGGTATGATGGTAGTGCCGCAGAGTATGGTTACCAGGAACAACAGGAATCCGCGGAAGGCTACGGTGACGGCTACGGCGAAGAAGCATACCAGGCCACAGCGTCTGGGGGAGATGATGCGGATGAATGGATTGATGATGAGGATCTAGCATTGCAACTCAACGCCTATACGGCAGTGGCATATGAAGCTGAGATTGACGATTTGGATGATTCCTATGCCGAGTCAGTTCAGCTTGCGTACGCGGCACAGACCGCCTTTGCCCAGGCGAAAGGAAAAGGAAAGGGGAAGAACAAGGGCAAGTCCCCCGGAAAACCCGGAGGGAAGGTCGTGCGTAGCAATTTGACCATTGCTGACCGTAAGGCTAAGTTAGCAGAGCTTAAGGCAA